ACGGGCCGCGCTGCTCGCCCGCGCGCCGGACGCTCCTCCTCTCGGCAGCTCCGTGCGCGGGGAAGGGATGCTGCAGTGGAGACGCGCGGTTAGGAAGCGAGGAGGTTGGGTCGTGCGGGAATCTGGGTGGAAAAACGCTGGGCTGCTGCGCGGTGCTGCAGTGACCCGAGCCCGTCCCCAGGCCTGCGGCGTTYCTGCTCCCTTGTGTCCTGAGCATACGCGGTTGGTTGGTGCTTGCGTGCTTCGGAACGGAGCAAGCCCGCATTTTGAAACTGAGAACAAAAAAGGTTGTAGGATGCAGAATTGACCCAACACCAGACATTGATAGTTCAGCTGAATTACCTGAAACATGATCTCCTCATTTGCTGCGGTGAAAGCTAATATGCATCTTTGGAGGAAATTCATTTTGTAGCTTAGTATACTGAGCAGAAATACCTGCTCGAGAGGGTGCTGGGTAGCGTCTGGATTAACCGAGTGTTGCTGACTCTGTTCCAAACCCTCGTGGATGTTGTGGCCCCGCCAACCCGCTCTCTGTCTCTGCTTCCCCCGCAGTTCAAGCGGATGCTGAACCGGGAGCTGACCCACCTGTCCGAGATGAGCCGCTCCGGGAACCAGGTGTCCGAGTACATCTCCAACACCTTCCTGGGTAAGGCTGCGCCCGCTGCCCTCGCACCTCTGCCCCGCGCTTCCAGTGGCGCCGGGAACCAGCGGGACGAGGCGCTGGGATGAGGCTTCCCTCCGTCCGAGCCCAGCGGGGCTGTCCCTGCGGGGCCCTTGGGATAGCCCGTTTGCAGGGGTGTTTTGGGGGAGCGCTGCAGGGCCTGCGCCCGGCTCCGGCAGCGCTTGCAAGCACAGCACATCCCATGTTGGCAGCCGGTGGCTCACCCGCACGAGCTGAGTTAAGAATGTTTTGAGGATGGGTTCTSTGTACTAGCATAGTACATGTACTGCAAAGACATAAATTGCTGCCGCTTTAGGATTTGGGGCTGTTTTCATGCGAGAAGCRGTGTTTGGCAGAGCCCTCCCGCGCGTCCCGGCAGTGGCAGCGGGGAGTGCTGCACACCCGGGATGCCAGCGCTGTGCCARGGTCCCCAGGCCTGCTCCCCAGGGCGTTTCAGTGGGATCGCAGGAACATTAGGGCACATCCCAGCATCAGCAACACGTATAAACATTAGTGGTCGCTSTGTAGGGACCCACTGGTCCTCTCCTCCATTGAGCTTACTCACAGGCTCCCAAATATGAGATCATAGAGACTGGAGCACGCCTGGAGAGAAATGAAGAAATCCATACGTGCCCGCTTGCCAGTAGATATGGAAAGCAGGGAGAGTAATCAGTTGTCTGCATTAAGCATTACAAAAATGCCAGTTAAAAATTGAGATTATTTAATTGGCTTATGTAGCTATATTAGCCTGTTATGCAGACTTCTGTTTAGGTAAGCAGCAGTAAGGAGAGCACCGKGCCGCAGAGGGGCTTGCTCTGCGAGGGTCCCCGGTCAGTAAGGTGCTGTGTGTGCCCACACATTGCCCTTGCGCACCAGCAGCCTCACCGCTGTGCCCAAAAATGCCCTCCTGCCTAACTGCAGCATCGCGGGCCGGCTGCTGGGCTGGTTTCAGGGGGTTTTAATGAAGCGAAGGAGGAGCAGCCCATGCCTCATCCCTCCAAGGTCCTCACATCTGCAAAGATGCAAAGAGRTTAGAGCAGCCTGCTTGGGAAGTCCGTGAAATCACAGAATCACACAAGTAATGAGCCACTGTTTTGCCTTTTTAATCCAGTAAATAAATCCCTTGCAAAGGCAGCAAGTAGCAGGTGTGGATAGATGACTTATTAAAACACGTCTCCGCAGGCCCCAGGCTTTGCCCCGCCGGGTACCTGCGTGACCCGCACTGGTGTTGCTGCTGGCTCAGACACACTTGGATGTGCCCTGGGAATYGCGTGTTATTCTGTGCTTTTTTAGGAGCTAGATGTGCTATATAGGGCAAACCTTTGATAAATCAATGGCACCGATCTGTGGTTGAGTTGATGTTTTGAGAGCCAGCGCGCAGAGCCRCGCCTGGCCCTGGTACATAGGGTGAATCTGCAAATATTTACCAAGTGCTTTGCTGGGAACAGACATGTCGCCCAAATTTGTGTTGGGTTTTGCAGAGAAATGGTTAATAGATGCAATAGAGGTGTTTGAACCTGGCAGACCCAGTGCTGCAGAGGTTGCCCRTGCAGGAGGAGCCGGCACTGCCGCTCCGCAGGGAGTTTTGTTCAGAGCAGCCCCAAAAGCAGAGAAGTTCCCCATGGAAGCAGAGCTGTTAGGTCAGCAGCAGCGATGGTGGCTGATGCCTTTGCCCTCTCCCCTCAGACAAGCAGAACGACGTGGAGATCCCTTCGCCCACGCAGAAGGACAGGGAGAAGAAGAAAAAGCAGCAGCTCATGACGCAGATCAGCGGAGTGAAGAAATTAATGCACAGTTCGAGCTTAAATAACACCAGCATTTCCCGCTTCGGTGTGAAAACGGAGAAGGAAGACCACCTGGCCAAGGTAGGACGGGCCCTTCAGGTCCCGGTGGCTGGTGCTGAGGAGGGGAGTCAGGGTTATCCAGGAGCASGGAATGGGCTGCCTGAACCCGCTGCCCCTTGTAAGGAATCCCCTCGGGGTSTGACTGCACACATATTAATGGTAGTGGGTACTAATGACATATTCTTAAATGTATGCAGTCCAAGAAAATGTCATTAAAATAGCCAAAACCCAAGGGAAGGCTAAGGAGAGTCAATAGGAAACACACGTGCAGCTAAAGGGCCCTGTGTGCAGGGAGCTGTGAGGAGGGTCGTTCCGGGGGTCCCTTCCTTCTGCTCCCCAGGATCAGAGCTAACAGGGGGGCACCCACTGCTCGGAGCTGTGTCCTGCACTCCGGCTGCACTGCCGTCTGCCCATCGTGGTTCCGCTTGTTCCTGCGCTCTCACGAGCATGAGTGCTCATGCACTTGAGTAATTACCAACAATTAAGGGCTCATTCCCATTTTTTCCCAACTTTTTGAAAGTGATGAATGCAGAAATGTCTGGCAAAACATGTACATGTGTTAAAATACTGCAACTGTCCTCTTCTTGTTGTCTCAAAAGGAGCTGGAAGACCTGAATAAGTGGGGTCTCAACATATTCAACGTGGCGAGGTATTCCCACAACAGGCCCCTCACCTGCATCATGTATGCTATATTCCAGGTGAGTGTTTGTGATCCCACGTGCTTTTCTTCTGCCACACTATACAATTGCAAATTGCTTTCTGTTCTGCTGCTTTCTACAGTGGCACTTCCTTACTTGACCTCTCTGTACTTAAACATTTCTGTGCAGGAGAGAGACCTGCTGAAGACGTTCAAGATCTCCTCGGACACGTTCGTGACGTACATGATGACCTTGGAAGACCACTACCACTCGGACGTCGCGTACCACAACAGCCTGCACGCGGCCGACGTGGCCCAGTCCACCCACGTGCTGCTCTCCACCCCTGCCCTGGATGTGAGTTGCCCAGTTTGGAGCATCTTCCATGGGATGCTTTGCATGGCTGCTTAAAAATATTGTTTAAGAAGAGTCTTAAATGGAGTCGGTCCCTTGTGGCGCTCAGACATATGTAAAGGGCCGCGTGCCCTGCGAGCGCTCAGCTCGGTGCTGCAAGTCCCCGTGAAGGAATTTCAGCAGCAGCTTGTCTCTAATCCCTGCCCCATCTGCACGCGCACATGCCGCTTCTGAGTAACTGCTTGGTTCTCAGAAAACTAATTCAAAAGCACAAACCATTTGTTTTTGCTAAACCAGCCTCCCAAGCTGTTGGGAGATAACATGCAAGGGCTTTTCTGACAAATGCTTGCTTTTTTTCTAGGCCGTCTTCACCGATTTGGAAATCCTTGCTGCAATTTTTGCAGCTGCAATTCATGATGTGGATCACCCTGGTGTCTCCAATCAATTTCTAATTAATACAAGTGAGTTCGGCTTCAGATACAACAATAACTTCATTTACAATCCTAGCCCACATTTTCCATTACAGTGAGGTCACTAAAAATGACTTTCAGCCTGTATTTCTTTCTCAGAATATTATGCAGTAAACTAGTTACACATTCTGAAATGAAGAAGTAATTAAAATGAAATTCCTTGCAAAACACAGGAAGCCATAGCAGTACAGCTTGCAAAGTCACCTTGAAGCCTGTGGATATTATTCCTTGCCTATGCACAATAAGTCTTCCAGGCCTGAGTGCAAGTTTTATCATTAATAATGGACAGATAATGCAGGATATATTTTCTGTTTCTATTGCTATTGACAACGATAAGGCTAAATATTGTGTGTTGCTCTGCAACGGGCTAAGCACATATCTTGATTCCAAAATATGAGTATTGTTCTGTGTTGGAAAGCATCTTTGCAGGCTTCACGCTTTCTGTTGTCAGTGATTTTGAAGCTTGTAACTAAGTAAACTGAGTAGTATTTGGTTCATTAGAACTGAGCAAAGGGCTGTTTATATTGTATACATATGTGCTCAGATTGGAAAACTGCATGCTCTTGACACAGCCAAAACAAAAGAATCCTTGCCCTGATTCACTGTGTTGGGACAGACRCCTCGGTACCGGTCTGAGACTCCTGTTCGAAAGCCACGTGGCCCATAGTCAGGTCCCGTATTTACGTGTCTCTGCTAGATTCGGAGCTCGCCCTCATGTACAACGACGAGTCTGTCTTGGAGAACCACCATCTGGCCGTGGGGTTCAAGCTGCTCCAGGAGGAGCACTGCGACATCTTCCAGAACCTCACCAAGAAGCAGCGGCAGACCCTGCGCAAGATGGTCATCGACATGGTACGAGTGACGCCCCGCTGCTCTCACCTGCACCATCCACTCCTCTGAAACCAAACCCTGGCTCCCTTCTGTGTCTGYCTGTACTTAAGGTCACGTTTTCCCTTCTGCAAAGGTACTGGCGACAGATATGTCGAAGCACATGAGCCTCCTGGCTGACCTGAAGACCATGGTGGAAACGAAGAAGGTGACGAGCTCGGGGGTGCTCCTGCTGGATAACTACACCGACAGGATACAGGTGCTCCATATAATCCAGTCTTTTGCTCACAGAAACAACAATGTGGTGCAGGAGAGGGCTGCTCACTTAGTGGCGTGAGCCTTATCTTGATCCTTTCCCCCTTTGATGGCCAGCTCCTAACAACCAGCTCATAGCGAAACCTCTTGGCGTCTTTATTTAAAACTGATGATGATGATAGAACAGGTCACTCCGTTGCTGTCTGCATCCTTCCAGCCACAGTTAATCAGGCAGATGTTATTTGTGCGAAAGGGATATTACTCATTTAATAAAGTAGGAGCGTTTAACCGTACAAGAACAGGAAAATAAATGTTGAATGGTGGGAAGCACCTGCAYTCAAGCACAAAACCATGTGATGTAATTAGACCAGCACCACATGTGTTAAGTATCGAGTAGTCTGAACAAAATATAGCACAGAGTTTACTACTAAAGCAGACTCTAGAGGCTGGTCTCCTATCTGGAAAAGGATGTTATTTCATAATATTGATAATATTGATATTTTTATAGAATTAGGCAAGTGCATGCAGCCTGAAATCATCYTCTTTCTCCACTTAATTTTGTGACTTTTCTGATGAACCCAATTGCAGGTTCTCCGAAATATGGTACATTGTGCAGACCTGAGTAATCCCACTAAGTCTCTGGAGCTGTACCGGCAGTGGACGGACAGGATCATGGAGGAGTTCTTCCAGCAGGGAGACAAGGAGCGAGAAAGGGGAATGGAAATCAGCCCCATGTGTGACAAGCACACAGCATCCGTGGAAAAATCACAGGTAATTGGCCTTGAGCTGCATTTTTCTGTGGCCTATGTTTATGTTTTTAAAACAGAGACAAATTTCATCTGCTTTCCCCAATGCGATGGCAAGGAGCCAGCTGCTCAGAGGGCTGGCTCTTATTGACCCTGACATCCAGCTGTGCCCAGAGCTCATCAGCTCTCACTGGGCTATTCACATTCCTCTGTTTACCCCTTGGCTTCCGCTCCTTTCCATGTACGAGTTTGTCCTGCCTTATTTGTGTCCCCGTTTCCAGGGCGAGTTGCTTTCCTCTCCTTCCTGGGGCTTGAGAAGTGCCCTTCTGGTTGCCCAGGCCCCCTCTGCGTCCCCCATGGTGCTGAATTAGCAGCCCCCAGATCTTGCTGGAGGCATCCAGTCATGGAGCAGAGCAGAGCAGAGCTGCTCTCTCCTTCTCTTCCCTTTCCTTCCCTTCCCTCGTGTCRCTCCTCCGCAGCAGCTCCACGTCCAGCCTCATGCCGCAGGGCACGGCTTGGCCRGCTAAGCCAAAGGAATACTTAGGGTGTCAGCAGAATCCTTAGAGACCTCTGGCTATTCCCTGGCCTGGCAGGATTGTCTGCCRCCCCGCTGCTGCCTCCTTCACAGCTGGGACATTCGCGGCCGGCCCTGCTCTGGCCCGGGGCGTTTCACCCGGCGAGGCCGTGGTGGAGCCAGGGACCCGGCTTTGCCCGGGCCCAGCCCGGCCCTCGTGGCCTGGTGCCTTGGTCGTCGCCTTTTAATGACTTCAGCAAGTCATCAGAGAGGTTTTGCAGCTTGAATAAGTAACCAAATTGAGGATAATTATTTCCAAATGGCCTCTTGGGCTAAGCCAAGTGGTTTCAAAAGTATTCACTCAATGACATTGTGATTTTATTGAAAAAAAAGTTTTATTTGATGAGCAAACAAGAAGTGAATCCTTTGGCTGGGCTTAGGCCGGATGATGCCCATGTGCTCAGCACGTGAGCTCTGGTGAACTCTCTCTTTCCAATTTCTGCTTCCCAGAAAGCATGTTTTTGAACTAGTGGGTTTTTGCCATACAAAAAGAGCAGGAGCCGCGTGCCAGGGGCAGCGGGGCGGCCGCGCGTGACGCCCCCGTGCCGCTCTGCCTCGCAGGTGGGCTTCATCGACTACATCGTGCACCCGCTGTGGGAGACGTGGGCCGACCTGGTGCAGCCCGACGCGCAGGACATCCTGGACACGCTGGAGGACAACCGGAACTGGTACCAGAGCATGATCCCGCAGAGCCCCTCGCCGCCGCTCGAGGAGCGCGGCCGCGACTGCCAGGGCCTCATGGAGAAGTTCCAGTTCGAGCTCACGCTGGAGGAGGAGGATTCGGACGGGCCGGAGAAGGAGGCCGAGAGCGGCGGCTACTTCGGCAGCGCCAGCAGCCTCCGCGTGGCCGGTGCAGCGCGGGAGGAGCCTCCGAGGGAGGCCGGCATCGAGATCGTCACGGAGGACACGTCCCCCGCGGACACATAAGGGGCGGCGCGGCGCCCGTGGCTTTCAACCGCTCGGCGCCGCGCGGGGCTGGGCCGGCGCCTGCCAGGGCCTCCCCGCGC